GTGTGTGTGTGTGTGTGTTGTGTGTGTGTGTGTGTGTGTGTGTGTGTGTGCGTGTGTGTGTGGGTGTGCGCGCGTGCGCTTTCACTTGTATAAAGTTGCACGGGTCAAGCCCCGGCTTCTGGCCGTAAACCCCCCCCCCTCCATCAGGCGCCACCGGGCTCACTCCCTGCTTCGAGAGCTCCATCGTACATCTTCCCGAAGCTATGCATGGATCCCGCCTCTGCCACTCCACTCTCCAGATCGTTCCACTTCCTGCCTATTCTTATACTGTAGAAGTACTTCCTAACATCCCTGTCACTCACCTGTGTCTGCAACTTCCAAATGAGTCCTCATGTTCCTGATTACCGTCTCACGAACCATCTGCCCCGGTTTATCCATCAGTTCCTCTCGGTACTTTATACGTTGTTATCTTATCCCCCCCCCCTCCAAATCCCTCTTTCTCGTACTGATTGTTGCAGCTGATTAGTTTCAACATTCCACGTTGAGAAGTTGATAATGCAATTTATCAACTTTTCAGCTTCAAGTTAAATATTCTGTATATTTAAGATGCTGGTCTCTTTGGTTCCTATAAAAGATTTGAATTAAGTTTCTGTGTCCTGCTTTCACATTTTATTGAAGAAATTTAAGTATTAATTTCGATATTTGTGAATGCCTCATTGAATTCCTTTCAAATCTTCGGTACTCTTCCAACTGAGTACATTGAAGTCCAGTGGACTAGAGTTATGGAATATACGGGGATACCTTCCTCGGATCACACACTGGCCAGAATAAATAAAATACATTTAGTTCTGAGCTGGAGGAGAATGATTTATCGTATTCACAAAACCAACTTAAAGAGATGTAGGTAAATGAACTGGTCTTAAATATTTGGTCTTAAATGAACTGGTCTTAAATATCTGGTCTTAAATGAACTGGTCTTAAATATATGGTCTTAAATGAACTGGTCTTAAATATCTGGTCTTAAATGAACTGGTCTTAAATATCTGGTCTTAAATGAACTGGTCTTAAATATCTGGTCTTAAATGAACTGGTCTTAAAAATCTGGTCTTAAATGAACTGGTCTTAAAAATCTGGTCTTATATGAACTGGTCTTAAATATCTGGTCTTAAATGAATTTGTCTTAAATATCTGGTCTTAAATGAACTGGTCTTAAATATCTGGTCTTAAATGAACTGGTCTTAAAAATCTGGTCTTAAATGAACTGGTCTTAAATATCTGGTCTTAAATGAACTGGTCTTAAATATCTGGTTTTAAATGAACTGGTCTTAAATATCTGGTCTTAAATGAACTGGTCTTAAATATCTGGTCTTAAATGAACTGGTCTTAAAAATCTGGTCTTAAATGAACTGGTCTTAAATATCTGGTCTTAAATGAATTTGTCTTAAATATCTGGTCTTAAATGAACTGGTCTTAAATATCTGGTCTTAAATGAACTGGTCTTAAAAATCTGGTCTTAAATGAACTGGTCTTAAATATCTGGTCTTAAATGAACTGGTCTTAAATATCTGGTTTTAAATGAACTGGTCTTAAATATCTGGTCTTAAATGACTGTCTTAAATATCTGGTCTTAAATGAACTGGTCTTAAAAATCTGGTCTTAAATGAACTGGTCTTAAATATCTGGTCTTAAATGAATTTGTCTTAAATATCTGGTATTAAATGAACTGGTCTAAAATATCTGGTCTTAAATGAATTAGTCTTAAATATCTGGTCTTATATAAACTGGTCATAAATATCTGGTCTTATATGAACTGGTCTTAAATATCTGGTCTTATATGAACTGGTCTTAAATATCTGGTCTTATATGAACTGGTCTTAAATATCTGGTCTTATATGAACTGGTCTTAAATATCTGGTCTTATATGAACTGGTCTTAAATATCTGGTCTTATATAAACTGGTCATAAATATCTGGTCTTAAATGAACTGGTCATAAATATCTGGTCTTAAATGAACTGGTCTTAAATATCTGGTCTTAAATGAACTGGTCTTAAATATCTGGTCTTAAATGAACTGGTCTTAAATATCTGGTCTTAAATGAACTGGTCTTAAATATCTGGTCTTAAATGAACTGGTCTTAAATATCTGGTCTTAAATGAACTGGTCTTAAAAATCTGGTCTTAAATGAACTGGTCTTAAAAATCTGGTCTTAAATGAACTGGTCTTAAATATCTGGTCTTAAATGAACTGGTCTTAAATATCTGGTCTTAAATGAACTGGTCTTAAATATCTGGTCTTAAATGAACTGGTCTTAAATATCTGGTCTTAAATGAACTGGTCTTAAATATCTGGTCTTAAATGAACTGGTCTTAAATGAACTGGTCTTAAATATATTTTACTAGTGCCCAGAAAAAGCTGGCAATATTAAGCATATAAGAACATTTATAAAATTTGTAAATTATATAAATACTGATTTTCTTTTTCACAGCAGATTGTGTAGATATAGAGAGACAGTTAAACTAACTGAAACTTGTTTTTCTCGGGACAAGTTGAACCGGAGGTGTGTTTTGTAGAGTGTTGGAAGTATAACGTAATGATGGTAAGACAAGCAAGCCAGTCTAGTTGCAAGTTGAGTCAGTCTAGTTGCAAGTTGAGTTAGTCTAGTTGCAAGTTGAGTTAGTCTAGTTGCAAGTTGAGTCAGTCTAGTTGCAAGTTGAGTCAGTCTAGTTGCAAGTTGAGTTAGTCTAGTTGCAAGTTGAGTCAGTCTAGTTGCAAGTTGAGTCAGTCTAGTTGCAAGTTGAGTTAGTCTAGTTGCAAGTTGAGTCAGTCTAGTTGCAAGTTGAGTCAGTCTAGTTGCAAGTTGAGTCAGTCTAGTTGCAAGTTGAGTCAGTCTAGTTGCAAGTTGAGTCAGTCTAGTTGCAAGTTGAGTTAGTCTAGTTGCAAGTTGAGTTAGTCTAGTTGCAAGTTGAGTCAGTCTAGTTGCAAGTTGAGTTAGTCTAGTTGCAAGTTGAGTTAGTCTAGTTGCAAGTTGAGTCAGTCTAGTTGCAAGTTGAGTCAGTCTAGTTGCAAGTTGAGTTAGTCTAGTTGCAAGTTGAGTCAGTCTAGTTGCAAGTTGAGTCAGTCTAGTTGCAAGTTGAGTCAGTCTAGTTGCAAGTTGAGTTAGTCTAGTTGCAAGTTGAGTCAGTCTAGTTGCAAGTTGAGTTAGTCTAGTTGCAAGTTTGAGTCAGTCTAGTTGCAAGTTGAGTTAGTCTAGTTGCAAGTTGAGTCAGTCTAGTTGCAAGTTGAGTCAGTCTAGTTGCAAGTTGAGTTAGTCTAGTTGCAAGTTGAGTCAGTCTAGTTGCAAGTTGAGTTAGTCTAGTTGCAAGTTGAGTCAGTCTAGTTGAAAGTTGAGTTAGTCTAGTTGTAAGTTGAGTCAGTCTAGTTGAAGTTGAGTTAGTCTAGTTGCAAGTTGAGTTAGTCTAGTTGCAAGTTGAGTCAGTCTAGTTGCAAGTTGAGCCAGTCTAGTTGCAAGTTGAGTTAGTCTAGTTGCAAGTTGAGTCAGTCTAGGTGCAAGTTGAGTTAGTCTAGTTGCAAGTTGAGTTAGTCTAGTTGCAAGTTGAGTCAGTCTAGTTGCAAGTTGAGTTAGTCTAGTTGCAAGTTGAGTCAGTCTAGTTCCAAGTTGAGTTAGTCTAGTTGCAAGTTGAGTCAGTCTAGTTGCAAGTTGAGTCAGTCTAGTTGCAAGTTGAGTTAGTCTAGTTGCAAGTTGAGTCAGTCTAGTTGCAAGTTGAGTTAGTCTAGTTGTAAGTTGAGTCAGTCTAGTTGAAGTTGAGTTAGTCTAGTTGCAAGTTGAGTTAGTCTAGTTGCAAGCTGAGTCAGTATAGTTGCAAGTTGAGCCAGTCTAGTTGCAAGTTGAGTTAGTCTAGTTGCAAGTTGAGTCAGTCTAGGTGCAAGTTGAGTTAGTCTAGTTGCAAGTTGAGTTAGTCTAGTTGCAAGTTAAGTCAGTCTAGTTGCAAGTTGAGTCAGTCTAGTTGCAAGTTGAGTCAGTCTAGTTGCAAGTTGAGTCAGTCTAGTTGCAAGTTGAGTCAGTCTAGTTGCAAGTTGAGTTAGTCTAGTTGCAAGTTGAGTTAGTCTAGTTGCAAGTTGAGTTAGTCTAGTTGCAAGTTGAGTCAGTCTAGTTGCAAGCTGAGTCAGTCTAGTTGCAAGTTAAGTCAGTCTAGTTGCAAGTTAAGTCAGTCTAGTTGTAAGTTGAGTCAGTCTAGTTGCAAATTAAGTCAGTCTAGTTGCAAGTTGAGTCAGTCTAGTTGCAAGTTGAGTTAGTCTAGTTGCAAGTTGAGTCAGTCTAGTCGCAAGTTAAGTCAGTCTAGTTGCAAGTTGAGTCAGTCTAGTTGCAAGTTGAGTCAGTCTAGTTGCAAGTTAAGTCAGTCTAGTTGCAAGTTGAGTCAGTCTAGTTGCAAGTTAAATCAGTCTAGTTGCAAGTTGAGTCAGTCTAGTTGCAAGTTGAGTAGTCTAGTTGCAAGTTAAGTCAGTCTAATTGCAAGTTGAGTCAGTCTAGTCGCAAGTTGAGTCAGTCTAGTTGCAAGTTAAGTCAGTCTAGTTGCAAGTTGAGTCAGTCAAGTTGCAAGTTAAGTCAGTCTAGTTGCAAGTTGAGTCAATAAAGTTGCAAGTTAAGTCAGTCTAGTCGCAAGTTGAGTCAGTCAAGTTGCAAGTTAAGTCAGTCTAGTTGCAAGTTGAGTGGTGTGCATCTAGACTGTGCAACGGGGCAGCACCTGGACTATGTGGTCTGGATTTTCATGGCTTAAAAAGCTTTGCGTGAGTAAGATGCAGGAATAACAATAGTAGAAATATTAAATTTTGAGGCTGGGATCATTCAAAGCAAATTACCGATGAGGATGGATTTTCTGGAGAGAGACAGCTATAGACTCATCAAAATGAAACAAAGATAAAAGGGATATGAAAACTTGTGTAAATATATATTAAGAGGAAACGATGTGAATCGTGATAGTTTAATAATTCTGCAAACTTTCAAGTTAAATCAACAATAGAGGTACAGAAGAGTATAAACATGGGCTGTAGATGTACTAACTCCCATGCTGGCCGAGATGGTCCTGAAGATGTGTTGGAGGGGAACAAGAGCGTCGATAGCGGTGCCTCTCGTCACGTTCTTCAACAGCGCTTCCTCCGTCCTGCTGAACCCCAGCAGCAGGAACAGTCCCGTTGGCAGTTCGTACTCCTCTGTAACACACCGTGCAATGAGTGCTGATATAATATGTACTGTGCATAACACCAGCAGTGAGAACACTGCCGTCAGCATCTCAGGTTCGTGACCATCACAACACAGGTCTTATATACAAATTAAACACAACATAGGCCCTCATTTCTTACGACAGCAATTAAAGGCTGAAAATTTCTGAATGAAATTAAAAAAAAATTATATAGATTTTTAAATGTTAATTCTGCACCTAGGGTAACAGGTCATGCTATTTCGTCATTTTTTTTAAAACATTTTAACACATATTTAGAAAACAACATATCTTTAGACTTCGAAAAGGCCAGCTCCGTATTTTTTTTTAAATGTTGATAAACATTTTGTTTAGATTTTGCAAGAGAAGATAAGTAATTGTAAGAAGTGATATAAAATGACTCAGCCAGAAGATAAGTGAGGATGCTTAGCCTAAACTTTGTCTCTTCGCCTAATTCTGCTTATTCCTTTTATATTCGACGAGGCTATGGTTCTCACCTAGTCTGGGCCGCTGGCAAATAAAATCTCCAGAGTAGCAGATGCACTCGCCACGGTAGGCCTGGTAGGCCGGAGCGTTGTGGTTGTAAACAGCGAAGGTGGTCTCGCAAGGACGGTTCTCCATGCATTCCAGTACCTGTCAGAGCAGCCTATTGTGAGGGACACTTACTGTGACAGCAACACTGGCACTTACCTATGTGTACACTGATTTAAAAAAGTGAGTGTGAGAGTGTGTGTGTGTGTGTGTGTGTGTGTGTGTGTGTGTGAGTGTGTACTCACCTAGTTGAGCTTGCGGGGGTCGAGTCCGAGCTCCTGGCCCCGCCACTTCACTGATCGCTACTAGGTCACTCTCCCTGAACCGTGAGCTTTATCATACCTCTGCTTAAAGCTATGTATGGATCCTGCCTCCACTACATCGCTTCCCAAACTATTCCACTTACTGACTACTCTGTGGCTGAAGAAATACTTCCTAACATCCCTGTGATTCATCTGTGTCTTCAACTTCCAATTGTGTCCCCTTGTTACTGTGTCCAATCTCTGGAACATCCTGTCTTTGTCCACCTTGTCAATTCCTCTCAGTATTTTGTATGTCGTTATCATGTCCCCCCTATCTCTCCTGTCCTCCAGTGTCGTCAGGTTGATTTCCCTTAACCTCTCCTCGTAGGGCATACCTCTTAGCTCTGGGACTAGTCTTGTTGCAAACCTTTGCACTTTCTCTAGTTTCTTTACGTGCTTGGCTAGGTGTGGGGTTCCAAACTGGTGCCGCATACTCCAATATGGGCCTAACGTACACGGTGTACAGGGTCCTGAACGATTCCTTATTAAGATGTCGGAATGCTGCTCTGAGGTTTGCCAGGCGCCCATATGCTGCAGCAGTTATTTGGTTGACGTGCGCTTCAGGAGATGTGCCTGGTGTTATACTCACCCCAAGATCTTTTTCCTTGAGGGAGGCTTGTAGTCTCTGGCCCCCTAGACTGAACTCCGTCTGCGGTCTTCTTTGCCCTTCCCCAATCTTCATGACTTTGCACTTGGTGGGATTGAACTCCAGGAGCAAATTGCTGGACCAGGTCTGCAGCCTGTCCAGATCCCTTTGTAGTTCTGCCTGGTCTTCGATAGAGTGAATTCTTCTCATCAATTTCACGTCATCTGCAAACTGGGACACCTCAGAGTCTATTCCTTCAGTCATGTCGTTCACAAATACCAGAAACAGCACTGGTCCTAGGACTGACCCCTGTGGGACCCCGCTGGTCACAGGTTCCCACTCTGACACCTCGCCAAGTACCATGACTCGCTGCTGTCTTCCTGACAAATATTCCCTGATCCATTGTAGTGCCTTCCCTGTTATCCCTGCTTGGTCCTCCAGTTTTTGCATCAATCTCTTGTGTGGAACTGTGTCAAACGCCTTCTTGCAGTCCAAGAATATGCAATCCACCCACCCCTCTCTCTCTTGTCTTACTGCTGTCACCATGTCATAGAACTCCAGTAGGTTTGTGACACAGGATTTCCCGTCCCTGAAACCATGTTGGCTGCTGTTGATGAGATCATTCCTTTCTAGGTGTTCCACCACTCTTCTCCTGATAATCTTCTCCATGATTTTGCATACTATACATGTCAGTGACACTGGTCTGTAGTTTAATGCTTCATGTCTGTCTTCTTTTTTAAAGATTGGGACTACATTTGCTGTCTTCCATGCCTCAGGCAATCTCCCTGTTTCGATAGATGTATTGAATATTGTTGTTAGGGGTACACATAGCGCCTCTGCTCCCTCTCTCACTACCCATGGGGAGATGTTATCTGGCCCCATTGCCTTTGAGGTATCTAGCTCACTCAGAAGCCTCTTCACTTCTTCCTCGGTTGTGTGCACTGTGTCCAGCACATGGTGGTGTGCCCCCCCCTCTCCGTCTTTCTGGAGCCCCTTCTGTCTCCTCTGTGAACACTTCTTTGAATCTCTTGTTGAGTTCCTCACATACTTCACGGTGATTTCTTGTTGTCTCTCCTCCTTCCTTCCTTAGCCTGATTACCTGGTCCTTGACTGTTGTTTTCCTCCTGATGTGGCTGTACAACAGTTTCGGGTCAGATTTGGCCTTTGCTGCTATGTCATTTTCATATTGTCTTTGGGCCTCCCTTCTTATCTGTGCATATTCGTTTCTGGCTCTACGACTGCTCTCCTTATTCTCCTGGGTCCTTTGCCTTCTATATTTCTTCCATTCCCTAGCACACTTGGTTTTTGCCTTCCTGCACCTTTGGGTAAACCATGGGCTCATCCTGGCTTTTTCATTATTCCTGTTACCCTTGGGTACAAACCTCTCCTCAGCCTCCTTGCATTTTGTTGCTACATATTCCATCATCTCATTAACTGGCTTCCCTGCCAGTTCTCTGTCCCACTGAACCCCGTTCAGGAAGCTCCTCATTCCTGTGTAGTCCCCTTTCTTGTAGTTTGGCTTCATTCGTCCTGGCCTTCCTGCTTCTCCCTCCACTTGTAGCTCTACTGTGTATTCGAAGCTTAAAACCACATGGTCACTGGCCCCAAGGGGTCTTTCATATGTGATGTCCTCGATATCTGCACTACTCAAGGTGAATACTAAGTCCAGCCTTGCTGGTTCATCCTCTTCTCTCTCTCTTGTAGTGTCCCTTACGTGTTGGTACATGAAGTTTTCCAGTACCACCTCCATCATCTTAGCCCTCCATGTATCTTGGCCCCCATGCGGGTCCAAGTTCTCCCAATCGATCTCCTTGTGGTTAAAGTCACCCGTGATCAGGAGCTTTGTCCTGCATGCATGAGCTCTTCTGGCTACTCCAGCCAGTGTGTCAACCATCGCTCTATTGCTCTCGTCGTACTCTTGCCTTGGCCTCCTGCTGTTCTGTGGTGGGTTATACATCACTGCTATTACCACCTTGGGACCTCCAGAGTGAAGCGTTCCCGCTATGTAATCACTTTCTTCTCCGCTGTCTCCTCTCTCCAGCTCATCAAAATTCCAGCGATTTTTGATCAGCAATGCCACTCCTCCACCCCCCTGTGTGTGTGTGTGTGTGTGTGTGTGTGTGTGTGTACTCACCTATTTGTGATTGTAAGAGTCGATTCACAGCTCCTGGCCCCGCCTCCTCGCTGGTCGCTACTAGGTCCACTCTCTCCTTGCTCCATGAGCTTTATCGTATGTCTTTTTAGAGCTATTTATGGATCCTGCCTCCACTACATAATTCTCCAGTAATACTTCCTAACATTCCTGTGACTCATTTGAGTTTTTCGATTTCCAGTTGTGACCCCTTGTTGCTGTGTCCCATCTCTGAAACATCCTGTCCCTATACAGCTTGTCAATTCTTCTCAGTATTTCATATGTCGTTATGATCTCTTCTCTATCCTTCCTGTTCTTCAGTGTCGTTAGGTTGATTTCACTTAACCTCTCCTCGTAGGACATACTCCTTAGCTCCGGGACTAGTCTTGTTGCAAACCTTTGCACTTTCTCTAGGTTCTTGAAGTGCTTGACCAGGTGTGGTTCCATTCTGGTGATGCATGCTCCAATATGGGCTGACGTACACGGTGTACAGTCTTGAATTCAATTCAATTCAATTCAAAGTTTATTCTCTATAAGGAATACAATGCTGAGTTTACAGAATTTGGTTATTGTGTGGTTTACATGTAGTAAAATAATAATTACAGAGTGTACCACTAGAACACCTAGCATGGTGTCGAAACGCTATTTTTAAGTTTGCCAAGCGCCCATATGCTGCAGCAGTTATTTGGTTGATGTGTGCCTCAGATGTGCTCGGTATGATGCTCACCCAAAGATCCTTTTCCTTGAGTGAGGTTTGCAGTCTTTTACTCCCAACCTGTACTCTATACTCACTTAGTTGTGGTTGCAGGGGTCGATTCATAGCTCCTGACCCCACCTCTTCACTGGCCACTACTGTGTGTCTTAGTATGTGTGTGTGTGTGTGTGTATTCACCTAGTTGTACTCACCTAGTTAAGGTTGCAGGGGTCGATTCCCAGCTCCTGGCCCCGCCTCTTCACTGGTCGCCGCTAGGTCACTCTCCCTGAACCATGAGCTTTATCGTACCTCTGCTTAAAGCTATGTATGGATCCTGCCTCCACTACATCTCTTCCCAAACTATTCCACTTCCTGACTACTCTGTGGCTGAAGAAATACTTCCTAACATACCTGTGATTCATCTGTGTCTTCAACTTCCAACTGTGTCCCCTTGTTACTGTGTCCAGTCTCTGGAACATCCTGTCTTTGTCTACCTTGTGAATTCCTCTCAGCATTTTGTAAGTCGTTATCATGTCCCCCCTATCTCTCCTGTCCTCCAGTGTCGTCAGGTTGATTTCCCTTAACCTCTCCTCGTAGGACATATCTCTTAACTCTGGGACTAGTCTTGTGGCAAACCTTTGCACTTTCTATAGTTTCTTTACATTCTTGGCTAGGTGTGGGTTCCAAACTGGTGCCGCATACTCCAATATGGGCCTAACGTACACGGTGTACAGGGTCCTGAACGACTCCTTATCAAGATGTCGGAATGCTGTTCTGAGGTTTGCCAGGCGCCCATATGCTGCAGCAGTTATTTGGTTGATGTGCGCTTCAGATGTGCCTGGTGTTATACTCACCCCAAGATCTTTTCCTTGAGTGAGGTTTGTAGTCTCTGGCCCCCTAGACTGTACTCCGTCTGCAGTCTTCTTTGCCCTTCCCCAATCTTCATGACTTTGCACTTGGTGGGATTGAACTCCAGGAGCCAATTGCTGGACCAGGTCTGCAGCCTGTCCAGATCCCTTTGTAGTTCTGCCTGGTTTTCGATCGAATGAATTCTTTGCATCAACTTCACGTCATCTGCAAACAGTGACACCTCAGAGTTTATTCCTTCTGTCATGTCGTTCACAAATACCAGAAACAGCACTGGTCCTAGGACTGACCCCTGTGGGACCCCGCTGGTCACAGATGCCCACTCTGACACCTCGCCACGTACAATTACTTGCCGCTGTCTTCCTGACAAATAATCCCTGATCCATTGTAGTGCCTTCCCTGTTATCCCTGCTTGGTCCTCCAGTTTTTGCACTAATCTCTTGTGTGGTACTGTGTCAAACGCCTTCTTGCAGTCCAAGAAAATGCAATCCACCCACCCCTCTCTCTCTTGTCTTACTGCTG